TTCCTTACAGTGGACTATTGCTGTGTTTGTGTTGTTAATTTATAAATATCTATCAGTGAAAATAGCATCTATAACTATAGATTTTTTTAAACTATCTAATTAGATGCAACAAGTGGATCCTTTAGTGGAGTGATGCATAATGACTTTATTACTCACCTTTTACCTCCATTTAGGGCTTGACATTAACACCCGTCAACCCGCCAAATGCGGGTGGATTTCAGCGTTGGCATGTAACGCAGTCACTCCTACTACCCACTTTGAAATACATTAGTTTAAAAAACGTGCTGATATCACAAAAATAACTAAATAAATGTGTCTAACGAAATATTACGTGGTGTTACCGTTACGGAACAGGGTGACCAGAAGTTATATAGCGATCAAACGACGCCAGAACAATGCAATATCAAGTTAAAATCACTTTAAAAATAATTATTTAAAGTGAAGTACCTTTTAAAGTAAACCCATAATAAAGCGATATGTTTCCAAATTATAAAACGATGTAAATTGGGGGAGCGCATGTGTTGGAACAGGGAATCCATGTGTGGACCACGGATGCTGCCTGTCATTGACTTACATAGGCATCACTTCCGTGGACCCATCAAGGAATTTTCGGCGATTCCGTGAAACTGCCACAGATTTTGAGTTAAGGGGCCGTGTTCATTTCACGGAATTCTGTGAGACCAGGTTGATAAAACATAATGGGTCCGTGCGTCAGGTCTTAAAGTGACAGTAGCCTAATATACCGGCTGCCAAATTATGAGATCCAAATTGTGGCCAGTGAAAATGCTGAGTGGCTAGTAACTTTGGAAAACCACTAGCCACAGTCGCTGGTGGGCAAAAAAGTTAATGTGTCAAGCCCTGCTCCATTTATGAACAACATGAGCTTTCAGACAAAACCATTCTTGTCTGAATTATTGATTTTCAAACATATGCCAGTTCTTTCCCATTGCATAGAGGGTCTTGTCCTTTACAATTGAGTTTATTGTTCAGGTTAATAATCATGTGCTCATTATGTAGGTACCTTGCCTGTAGTAGGGATTATTGGGATACTACATGTGGCAAAAGACAGTTTACAGCGGTGTAAAGCCTGGAACACACCAAGCCGACTGTCGGCCGTCGGGCAGTTTTTGTGTGTCGGCCGACTAAGTTTCCTCGGTGTGTTCCGCACGGTTCCGTGCCGTCGGCTGAAATTTGTCCTCGTTTCGACATGTTGGTGAAAGAGGGAACTCTGATTGGCTGCTCAGCTTAGTGAAAGAGTCAATGCACGAGAATAATAGCAAAACAACAAAGTTAAAACTCTACAGATAGAAGGCTGTTCTTATGTTACGTCATCTTACCTGAGTGTTCCTTGGCGAATATTTCAATATTAACACGAGCGGAGTGGAATAAAGAAAGTGTTTAGCAGGATTGATATTCAAAACGATAAGCACGCACTGCTTTTTGTTACGGTATGTGTATCTGCAGCCGGCAGCGTCGGTTTCCCTTTTTGAATAACGAATATAGACTGATATATCTGCAGAAATAGACAGTTGTCTCATTTACACGCAGGCGCAGAACGCGCATTCTAGCTGACAGTCGGCTGTAGTTCTCTCGGTGTGTTCAAGTGCAGCTTTTTACCCCGACGAGAGGCGACAACACAGTCGGCTTTCATCAGCGCTAGTTCGTCGGTGTCGGCTTGGTGTGTTCCAGGCTTAAAGGGATTCTCCACTTTTTTTGGAAATAGGCTCATTTTACAACTCCCCCAGAGTTAAACTGTTGAGTTTTACCGTTTTTGAATCCATTCAGCCGATCTCCGGTTCTGGCGGTACCACTTTTAGCATAGCTTAGCATACATCATTGAAGTGGACAAGACCATTAGCATTTCTCATTAAAAAATGACCAAAGTGTTTCGATATTTTTCCTATTTAAAACTTGACTCTTCTGTAGTTACATCGTGCACTAAGACCGACGGAAAATGTAAAGTTGCGATTTTCTAGGCTGATATGGCTAGGAACTATACTATCAATCCTGCGTAATAATCAAGAAACTTCACTGCCGTACCATGAGTGCAGCAGGCGTAATGATATGACACAGCTGGGGACTATTTTCAGGCGCTGCGTCATATCATTACGCCTGCTGCACTCATGGTACGGCAGTAAAGTTTCTTGATTATTACGCAGGAATGAGAGTATAGTTCCCAGCCATATCAGCCTAGAAAATCGCAACTTTACATTTTCCGTCGGTCTTAGTGCACGATATAACTACAGAAGAGTCAAGTTTTAAATAGGAAAAATATCGAAACACTTTGGTCATTTTTTAATGAGAAATGCTAATGGTCTTGTCCACTTCAATGATGAATGCTAAGCTATGCTAAAAGTGGTACCGCCAGAACCGGAGATCGGCTGAATGGATTCAAAAACGGTAAAACTCAACAGTTTAACTCTGGGGGAGTTGTAAAATGAGCCTATTTCCAAAAAAAGTGGAGTATCCCTTTAACTTGATGATTAATGGTTATATTGCCATACCAAACAGACACATCATTGATCATGATACAGCTGACAAACTGCGTTCTTCTAATTTTGAAGCTTGTTGTTAGGAATGCATAGATTTGTAAAATAATATAAACACAGGCATTCATGTTAGGATGTTTAGGGGATTATTGGCTCTCCAAAACAATACTATTCAGGTCTCCAGACTAGCTTTTTGCCTTGGTTGCACTGGTGCGCCTAACATTTTTATTTAGGTGCACCAGCACAAAATTTAGGTGCACCCAAATTTTTCCTCGGCTTGCGTCACCTTTAACACTACAATTTCAAGGTCACCTTTTTATCACGCTCCATATACAATCATATATATTATGTAAATTATTTTAAACAAGAATAAGGGTAGGTAAATACTTTTTTTTTTTTTTGAAGCACAATTATACTGTATATAAAAAACTTTTTTTAAAAATAAAAAAATGTTTAAAGTGCTTCACTGAGCTGCCAAACTAAAACATTTTAAGCAAAATAAAACATTTCAAAATAGAAATAGAAATAGAAAGTGCTACTGTTTAAAAGTGCTGCTCTGAACTGATGGCTGAAGTAGCTCCATGTCTGGGCTGTTATCGGAGCATTGACCGGGGAGAGTGTTGGGGGGGAACAGGCCTACTTTTCTTAAAGAAAAAACTGTGTCTATTTCTTTTCATTGTTCGTCGTCTGTTTTCTTGCGCTTATTTTGCTGATGCTGATTGCCGTGGCCTCGTTTACACTGGAGGTCTTGATGCCCAATTCTGATTTGTTGCCTATATCCGATTTTTTTTTGACCGTCCGTTTACACGTTCTTTAAATTGTGACCCATATCCGATTCATGTGTTTACACTTGACATAGATCTGAAACATTGCGCATGTTTAAAGGGGGTTCTTCTTGCACAGATGGACGAACGCGCAAGCGAGAGATATCTCAGGACTGGTGGGAACAAACAACACGATCTCATGGAAGTGCGTATCTAGCACAAATTTTATTTCTCGTGCCATTTATACGCCAAAAATAGTTTTTGCGTGCATATGATACGCACTGTAAACGTGCATATTAAACACCATTAAGTGCGTATCATATCCACGCAAAAACTATTTTTGACATAAATGGCACGATAAATAAAATTTGTGCAATAGACCCACTTTCATGAGATCGTGGCGGGCTTTACGAGGAGCAGTGGGTTGAGCAAGCCAACCTTTGATATGTTGTGTCAACGTTTGTCCACATTCCTCTCCTACGACGACACAACGTTTCGTCGGGCCATCCGTCCCTTTGCAGATGCGCATTCGGGGTTGCTCTCGTCTCGTCATTAAACCGCGGAGACGTAGCCTAAAGCCGCCTTTCCACTGCACGCGACATTCACATACGATTGTCGCATTTCGCCCCCTTGTGTCAGTCGCATGGAAATTGGTCGTGAAGCAACCCTCGGCTATTCACAATGGTAAAATGAATGATGAAAGTAATGCATGCATGAATATATCCACACAAAACAAATGACCCTCAATACATCTACAATAAAAACAATAGATTTTACAGAGCTAATTAATATAAATATTGATTTAATAATTATAAAATATTTTTTTCTGCCATAATTATTAATAACCGACATTTTACAGAAATAGCGTTTACAGAATAACATTAAAGAGTTGAAATATTGGTAATTCTAGCCTCACGCTCATAGTTTTGATTAGAATACATCATATCCGGTCGGCCGGTCGCATACGGTCTAGCCGCAGAAGTTCAGATATTTCAACGGATCCAAAGCTCAAATCGGATACGAATTTTCCGCATACGCATATGATCGGAACTGCCCGCAGCTCCCGTACGACTCTCCATTGGAAATGAATGACTTCCGGTCCAACGGCTGCCGTTTGTCGTGTGCAGTGGAAAGGCGGCTTAATGCCTCAGAAAATCTGATCTGCCTGTTTACATGACAGTCGCATTGGCACATATCTGATTTATATAATCTGACTTATTTCCACATATGAACGAGGCCTGAAACTGATCTTGAAATGTCCGAATGCATGCTTTTTTCCCCAGTTTTTTTCACGGTCAACACATCCGATCTGTCACATATGAGAAAAAAATCGGAATTAGGTCACATTTCACTGAGAGTTTAAACGAGGACTGATTCTCTGGTGCTCAGGTCGCTTCGTTCGTGAACAAGCGCTTCGTTCGTGGATAGGCAGCGGATGCGAGGACGTTAGGTGCACCGGTGCGACCTAGGAAAAATTTTAGTCGCACCCTTACAAATTTTGGTCGCACTCTAGAGCCCTGCTATTGTGGCCCAGAGTCTGCTCTGGTTTTTGTGTAAATAAGAAGGTTCCCTCAATACTCACAAAACGTGACATGTCTAGCTCAGCTGAATTGGATTTGACAGTCTCATGAGAAATGGCCTATTAAATTGGGGCTCTAGATGAATTGTTCTGTGATTCTTATGCATTTTAGATGTTGACCTTCAGTGCAAACTAACTGAAAAGATGTTTTTCTTTTTCTTTTTTCAGAGATATGAGGCCTCTTCTGAAGAACACCGTTGAATATTTCCCTCACTGAGGATGTGCAACAATTTCTGCTCAGCACAACCACATCTGAGGTCACTTCTTCTCTAGACCCTCTTATACCTCAGGGTTGACTTTCAAAATTCATAAGTGTCTGCGTGTTTCCCGCTGAGCACCGCTTGGTTTGAGACCAGTTTTGCTTCACTGCATCCAGAGTGCAAAACTGCTGAAACATCGCCCTCCATGGTTTCTGCCCATTTCAAGAAGCTATCGTCTTACATCGTAAAGATTTGCAAAGGAATGTTTACAAAGAAACTGGCAACTGCCACAAAGAAGAAAGAGAGCAGCGAAAACAAAAAAGAACCAAAAACGTCCCCTGACCTGCAAGCAAGGAACCCAACATTCTCAACCACACTGAAAAGCACAGTTAAAAAAATCTCCAAATGCTCGTCGGCACGCAATATATCTCTTGAGGAGGATGATGGAAAAAACGACTGTTCTTCTCTCTCGCCAACATTCAGTTACCGTGTAGCAATTGCCAATGGTCTGCCAAAAAATGCCCTCTTTCTGAACAATAATGAATTTCATGAGGTCTTGTCAATTGATAGTGATTACTCTGACTCTCTAAACGAGGCAAAACTTGTCCATAGATTCGATGAACAAAAAGCTTATACAATGCCAGTAAGAAGGAACAGGAAGAGTTTGATTAGTTTAGCGCCCTCTGATGGCAGCTCGGAGGGAGAACGGGGAGAGCGCAGCAGTCTCCAAACTCTTCGATTGGGCGCTCTGAAAAAGCTGAGGAAATGGAAGAAGAGCCAAGAATGTGTGTCCTCAGATTCAGAGGCCAGCAACTGGAGAAAGACTCTTGGCATCAGAAGCAAATCTCTAGACCGGGCTGGCCGACAGCAGAAAACCACTACCCTAGAGCCGGGATCCAGCTCGACGGGATGTATCAGTCAGACTCAGGATGTGATGGAGATGATCTTCAAAGAACTTCAGGGAATCAGTCAGATTGAGTCTGAGCTCTCAGAGCTGCGTGGGCATGTTAACGCCCTCAAAAGCTCCATTGATGAGATCTCCAGCAGCGTGGAGGTGGTGCAGAGTGAAATCGAGCAGCTCCGAACAGGTTTTGTGCAGTCCAGACGTGAGACTCGAGACATCCATGATTACATCAAGCAGATTAGCCAACAGACCAACAAAGCTGCTCTGAGATTTCTAAATGTGCCTGAGGAGAAGTATGAAAAAACAGAAGAGCTTATTTATCAAATCCTGAAAGAGAAAATGGGGTTTGCCGAAGCACGCAAGACATTTAAAATTGAACTGGCCCATCGACTAGGGCAACAAAGAGAATGTTACAATGCTAAACCTCGACCAATTGTAGTTATATTTTCAAGCCCACAAGACAGGGATTTAGTTTTGAAAAAGTGTTATAAGCTTAAAGGAACTGGAATATCCATCTCGACTGATAGTCTAGTACATGATTCAAAAGAAAAGAGAGACAAGCCAATGGCTTCCTCTCAGACGTATGAAAGCATGGACATCAAGGTCTCAGCCAAAGACAAGGCTGAAAGTGATGACTGGGACTCCATGGAAAGTGACAAAGAGCTTGATGAATTAAACAAGAACAAATATGCAATTGTGTCCAAACCACCCCCAAAAAGTAAGTCTGATAAGAAAAAGTCTCACGATCACAGAAGGATGGCCGATGACTCGGCCTACTCTGTGCACTATGCGGATAATACAGACTACGATGACCACGACAAGCAAAGTAAGTCCTACTATTCTGATATAACACCTGGATGGCTTTCTCAAAGCGACTACTCCACTCCCAAACTCAGTCGGTCTGAATCTGACTGCTCTAAACTTTGCCAGTCTTACTCTGAGGATTTCTCAGAGAGTCAGTATTTCAGCAGAGTCAATGGCTGCTCCTTGCTTTCCTCCTCAGATCAGGAACTTTGGCAACGGAAGCAAGAAGACATGGCATCCTCCTGGTACGCTACTCCTCCCAGTCAAACTCTGAGCCAAGAACGACCTTATGTGGAGCATAATGAAGTTGAAACCACTGAGACAATTGACAGTGGTGTGAGTAATGGTCTTGTTTGTATATCAGGGGACAGGAGCCATTACAGTGGCTCTCAGCTGTCGCTGCAGGGTGACCTCTCACCATGGAAAGATTGGCATCACCTTGAACAAGGTACTGATTCAGGTTTGGACGCTTCAACTGAGCAGAACATAATCTCTGAGATCAGTAGTCCCTTTGACCCTGCAGCCAACCCTGGTTTCCCTGAGAAAATTACTAAATGCCTTGAGGTTGATTTACAATTTGAAGGTGAGACCTTTCTGACACTAGATAGCACTCCTGAGACAGGCCAATACCAAGATATAGATTTTGAACCTGAATTTTTAGAACCTGAGCTAGATCTTGAGCCAGAACCAGAGCCAGAACCAGAGCCAGAGCCAGAGCCAGAGCCAGAACAGGAACAAATGGCACAGCGAGAACCTGAACCAGAACCAGAACCTGAACCAGAGCCAGAATTAGAGCCAGAGCCAGAGGTTGTAATTGAACCCATAGCAAAACCAGTACCTAGACCTGTTGCTGAACCGCAACCTGAAAAGAAGCCCAAGACCAAGAAGATCCAAGCTAAGCCTGAATCAGCTCCACAAACTTTGCAGCGGCAAGATGTGAACCACCTCCAGCAGGGCCAGAAATCTTCAGCCATGTACCGGAGCCAGAGTGAGATCAGAAATGAGAAGGTGGAGGATGTCCCCAAATCATGGAGTAGCAGGCTTAGCATAGACCTCGGTGAAAAATCCTTTGGCTTTGGAGGTTTTGGATCCACCCTGCAAAGAGCAAAGTCAGCTTTGGATTTTGTATGGAATAAAGGCCCCCAAAGCACCAGCGCCCCGGTTGAAGAACCAAGCAACACCTCATTCATGGGCAGGTTTAGAACCATGTCCCAGTCCACAGCGAACAGCTCCAGCACAACCATTGACTCTGACGTCTACACAGAACCTTTCTATTACAAGGCAGAAGATGAAGATCAATCTACTGAACAACCTGTGGACAATGAGACACATTATGTTGAGGTGATGGAACAAGTGCTAGCCAATTTGGAAAACAGAACAAATGCCAACGAGGCTGAGGAACAGTACCAAGAAGAGGAATACAATGTCTCGCAAGAATATGACATCTCTCAAGATGGTAACCTTGTGTTGGAATATGACTGCAGCCTTGATGAACAATATGATGAGGAATTTAGTGAGGAGTATGACGACAATCCCATGACTGAAGACACAGCAGAATATGAGGTGAGTCTGGTGGATTATGTGGAAGAAACCGGGGAACCAGAAGCAGAGATTGAAGAACAGGAGGAAGGCAAAAAGGAGGTGCAGGAGGTTCAAGAAACATCAGAAACGAAGGGAGCAGATGAGGTAGAAAAGGCTGTAGAACATGAGGATGAGAACAAAAACGTTACAGAGGTTCCTGTGCAGGAAGCACCACCCAAAAAAAGGATACGTCCCACCTTCAAAGAAGCAGCACTGAGAGCTTACAGGAAGCAGATGGCTGAGCTGGAACAGCAGATCCTGGCAGGAGGTACGATCCAACCAGTTATTTGTATTTTATATGCTAACTGTACAGAATTGCTTATACATTATAGTTGTTTAAATTTGAAATTGTTGAAAAAAAAAATCTAGTCTAGGTTTCGGTCAGTGAGCCATTGATTGAGTCATTTGAGATCCACCATTGTCCATAAATGATGTCTTTCTCAGGTCTTGGTTCCTGAGTACCCTGACACTATTGAAGGGTTGTTCTGATGGACAGGATGATGATTACTAGTTTTTGATGTTGAGTGGTTAGAATTGGCGATTGATTTTGTGTTTGTGTGTGTGGTTGTCCAGCATATCAGTGTACAGGTGAAAGTGTACTTCAAATTTTGTGGCCTTCAATAATCGCAAGGTGGTTATTTATATTTAAGCATTCATTTTTTTAAAGGAATAGTTCATCCATATAATAATGTTCTTCTCATTATTTAATCTCACTCATGTGGTTCCACACCCGGATTAGTTTTTTTTTTTTCTTCTAGCTTAGAACATAAAAAGACAATTTGATGGATGTTTACAATTTGATGGCTCTCTCCAATCCAATTTGTTCATGTGCATTTTCAGATCAGGCCAGGGTTGATGTCAATGACAACAAACTGCAGTGGTTCTTCTTGGAAGTCTTGTAATGTGATGCACCACATTTGAATATGCGCATATGTATAATTTCATCTAGGGTGAAATATTCCTTAAATAAGCGCAAGCATGTTTTATTAGCAGTTTTAGCATTTTATTTTATTTCCAGTGGTAGTTTCTCAAACATTTGTTTTCATAGTCAGTTAACACAATACATGCTAATATGAACATAAACAGCTGAAATTGTGTCAACTGTATGTCTCTACACTATTCTAAAATTTACCCCACAAAAGCAGAGTTTATTTTACAGTCAGTCAGGAATCAAGGGAATTTCCACCCAGTCTTACTCACACTGAAAACGCTCTTGACCTAGATGTGAAAATCACAGTCACAGCACACGGCAAACCCAACGCTGCACTGCTGAGTACTGTTGGGATACTGTATTTAGGCTGCTCATTCATGCTGCACGCTAACAGCCAGATGCTCTGTGTACTTAAGGGGATTCTGATTCCCTTAAAACACAAGCCACAAATCACAAACCAAATCAGTTCATTTTTTAGGCATTACAATGAGATTTGACACTGGCACACAATTCAACTCATGGATTTCAGAAATGATTGCATTTTGATGTTTTACATCGAATAAATGCATGTAGGGTGCAGTGCTCTTTGTGTTATTTTAGAGTCGGATTCACCAATGGAATTATGCTATTCAGATAATGATGCAAATGGGTTAATGGGTTTAAAAAAAGGATAAAAATATCTTTTCAAAATTGATATAATGCATATTTTAAGTCAGGAACAAATATGTGTGCACTAGAATATGCTGAATACTGGATTTTTTTCTTCACTTACATTACATATAAAATAAAATACAAATACAACAAGTGTTTAAGTTAACACAACAGTCTCTATTGAAGTAAAAGTAGTAAATTGATCAAAAACAGAATAAATCGCATTCAAAACTTAGGAACTTGAATAGGCTACAGTGCAATGGATTTGTTTGATACACTGTAATCGATTGTGATTGAATAACAACAGAGTCGTGTTTTATATTGATACGAAAAGAATAATAAGCTTAAGTCAGTTGAGACTACTAAACAAGATTCATCACCTCTCATTTCTTTTTGCAAGATATGCTTGCAAAAAGATGTGCGCAGGACAGGTTGCATTTAATAATAATAAAAAAAGAATAAAAAAAAACCTTCACCCTATAAAGAGAGTGCTAATTTCTTATGGCTTTCCCTTTTATGACTAGGCACTTGTTGACCGGTAATGTACGTACTATATTCAGGTTTTAGATATTTTATTAATATTATATTGTCACTCATAGGTTTAGTTTCAGTTTAGTGTTCCTGGAGTTTTAGTTTGTAGCTCTGTTTCCTATGGTTTAAAAAATGTTCCCAGTTGTTTCTATGGTGACTCATTGTTTAATTGATTTGTATTACCTGCTCCATGTTAAGCCGTTTGGTTTCATTGTGTATTTATAGCCCTCAGTTTGTGTTCTGATTTGTCCGTTCTTGTCTTTGTTTAGCGGTTTTTATTTTACTGCATTTTTTGTATTCTCCTGAGCTCCTACTTGTTAGTTATTTTGGTTTATTACGCGGCTCTGTCTGTGGAATACTTGATTCTGATTGGTCAATAGCGCCATCCAGCGGTAAGTTTTCCCAGATAACAACCGCTCAAAGCAGATCACTAGTTACCAGTGCTATACGCCTGCTAGGAACGGTTTTTCTTGGTGAAAGTTTTGCGTTTGTTGAGCTAATAAAATATTAAAACTCAGTCGAATCAATATTTTGTGTACAGTTATTTAATTATGCCACCCAGTATCGTGGACTCGCTCTCTCTTGTTTCATACAAACGCAGCTGCTGCCATTTTGTGACTATTGTTTTGTACACTGTTGGATTATGAGATACAAACAGGTACTATTTTAAAACAGTTTAATCTGAAATCAATATATCTTATCCCCATAATCATTTAGCCTATGTGGCGAAATGCTGTGTAATAAGTGATATGAATGACTGTATACCGTATCTCTTAAATGTCAGTTTAGTTGAACATTCTACAACTGCTCTCTCTGCGGAAGCTTTGCGTTTAAAGACCTAATAAAATATTTCAATACAGATCAATATTTCGTGTATAATTATTTACTTAGGCCTATGTGGCAAGTAGCTGTGTAATAAGCGGGAATCATAATAATAACCCCCTTCAGGCTGATCAAGACCCTCATCATCCTGTCGGGGGTTATTTTGAGAGAACCACCGGCTGGATGTACATTATCCCTTAAGCCTGGCTCACACTACAGGAGTTTTAGGCCGATTTATGCCCGATTTTCCCCTCCCGAGAATCGGAGAAAAAATCTTGTCGAGGACCTCGATCGGTTCCGATGTTCGGCACAGATTATCTGGTAATGTGAGGCATTCACAGATCGAATCTTGCACCTCCTGATCTGCTCTTACACAAATCGGGCTCGCCCCGATCATATCAAACATGTTTGATATTTATCAGGATGAGCAAGATTGTGATTACAAGATTGTGTTTTGTGATTATAAAAACAGAAATGTTACAACCTTCTTGCTGAGTAATATAATGTAGCAAAGTTAATTTATTAATAAAAGTGGCAGGGCAGTGTTGACAAGAAGTTTCTGTGCTCCTGTTTCTGTGTGTGCGCAGGGCGATCTCCAATCTGTGTGAGTGAGTGACGTATGTGTGTGTGCTTTAATGAAAGCAGGGCATTCATAGAACGGTGATTAAACTGACTTGGAACTACCAAGTATTCAGACAGACCATGGTATAATTTTAATATAATTTAGTTTTTTAAAAATGTTTTTAATGATTTTCTGTTGATAGGTCTTAAAATGGGAATGCTAATGATTAGCTTTCTCCAGGTTTATCCTCCTTGATGAAAACTGTGCACAGAAATATTCTTCAGTTCAGTGGTGCTGGTGTTTAGCTCTTTGTTTTCACACAGCCAATTTAATTCCTCAGCTCTCATTTTCTCCTCGACTAATTAAAGAGTGCTGATCAGAAATCATTTGCATAAAATGAGGAACTGTCATGGAGTGTCTCCGAGTATCATCGCTGTTTCGGTTTAGTCTTCTTCAGGCTGCACGTTTTTAGGAGTCTTTTACAGTGCGCTCTCTTAGGATTTGTTCTTTCTGCCAAACCAATCTTCATTTAGTTCTAGCCTGAACTGCATTCACATGCTAATTCCTCCTCCCAAGGGCGCTTGCTAACCAGGTCAGTGTTGTTGGGACTCTTATATGAGTCTTGTTCGGAGGCTAGCCGTGCGAGCCTGCAGTCCACACTTCACGTGTTTATTATATCAATTTTATTTCTTCCGCTATGACCCATCGAGGTCAGCTGATGCTGTTTGTAAGCCAGTTCTGCTATTTTGTATTTTGTATTTAGATCACAGCACTCCCAGAGAACTGACTTAAAAACATGTGGATATTTAAATTACTTTTTGCCACTTGCAGATGTGTGAAGCTTTTCTTTTACTCAATCTGCAGTAGAAAAGGTCTAATTTCCTCGCTGTTTTTAGGAATTCATATTTTAAGATTGTAATTTCAAACCCAGAAAAATATAGTTCTGCTCCAGATTTTCAATGCTTTACATTTGTACTGCATTTCAGTAATCGAGGATTATGACTGTATTAGGAATATTCTTCATAGAGATGGACATGAAAGTCAAGAAAAATCTAATTTGACTCACTTTTACTCACGTTTACTTTATTCATACTTGTAGCTGGTCTTATTGTGAACGATTAATCAGCGCATGCTATTCAAATGTAAAAGTTTGTTTGTTTTTTTATTTAATCAAAATGTAACAACTTGCTCCATCACTTCACCTAAGCTTGTTTAACTCAGAAATACATCAAATTATGGAATGCATAATTAAAGTGCATTACAAATGACTTTTCATATTGTGTTGAGACGACATGAACATTAATCCAAATAAATGTTCTTGGTCTTGTTGTGCACTATTCAACAGTGCCTAAGGAAAAAGGAAAAATGTTTTTCATTATCTTTCATCAGAAATGTAACGACTTCTGAGTATATGTATAACGTATATGAGACTTCTGTTTAACTAGGAAATATGACAATATGATCATTTAAATGGTGAATGACATTGTATGTCTTTAAAATAATATTTTCTACCTGCAGTTAGTTTTCTGAAAGCCACTATTAATGAAAGTAATGCATTTAGCCAGAGCTCAGTGGAAACAGACCATTGATCCAAATGAGTGAAAGAGGTTTTCTGTCACCTCTCCCACATACCGATATGTTTTAGCCTCTTGAGAACCCCAGCCAAAATATTCATTTCATTTCATTTGTCACTGACCAAGAAATCTAAAAGGAAATGTAATTCATCTGAGAAATCCCTCAGTGCATATATATTCTGCAGACATTGGACATCCAGTGTGTGATCTTTTTTAAGGGTCAACCTCATGAGACCTGTAAAGAATATTTCATATTTAAAATCAATTAGAATAAGAACTTGGTAATACTTTACAATAAGGTCTCATTCGTTAAGATTAGTTAATGTATTAACTAACATGAACTAACAATGAGCAATACATTTGTTACAGTATTTATTAATCAATGCTAAAAATACTGCTGTTAATAGTTTGTTCATGTTAGTTCACAGTGCATTAACTAATGTTAACAAATACAACTTTTGATTTTAATAATGTATTAGTAAAATTAACATTAACTAAGATTAATAAATGCTATAGTATTGTTCATTCTTAGTTCATGTTAACTAAAGTAGCTTAGTTAACTAAAGTTTAACTAATGAAACCTTATTGTAAAGTGTTACCAAACTTAATGTTCTCTTAATGTCAAAATGTTATTTTTCATTTAAAATCCAACTTATTTCTGTAATGTGTCATATTTCTGAGTGAAACAGGATATTCTGCAAGATAAAATGTGTGATATGACTTGTTTTATCTGTCAGGAATGGATCATGAATCATGAAAAGTGTTTGTTCCAGACCTAAATGTGAGTTTGATTGTTGTTGACTTAAAAATAATAAAATGTATATGACAGCAATCAGCATTACCATTAAAAGGAATTGAAAATATTAGTGTCATTCTCATTATTCTTAATGAAGATTCTGATTATTGTAATATAGTATTTTTCATTTTCAAAATAGGATTACAGGTCTTAATAGCCGTAAAAAAATATGTTGACTTCAAAAATGCGTTGATGCTGAACTTTTTGATTTTTTAAATATATATTTTTAAAATGTTAAATCAAATGAAAACATGCCCCCATATCAAAAGAAATAACTAAGAAATATCATATATATATATATATATATATATATATATATATATATATATATATATATATATATATACGTATATATATATATATATATATAAAAAAAATAAATGTATTATTATTTTTTGGGGTACTTTGTTTGTTACTTGGACATGATGTAAGATTGACCAAAGAATTCTTAATTTCATATCAACATAATTTTTTTAAATCAAATATAAGACCCGTAAACCTAATTAGTAGTTAAAGTTGGATGTTTTGCTGCTATAAAATCGATTTGGAATGAACAGGCCATTTAAACACCCAAATATATATTGGTTGGCCCTCGGTTTAGTGTTTTCACACTACACTACAAAAAGGACGAGTAACCCTCCACAAGCCCAACAGGAAAGATTTGATCGATACTCTGTCGACCATGCTCGTGTTCACTTTATTAACCAGCTAGATTTCAGCTTCAAGGCTGTTCTTTAGGCGTCTTTGTGCGTTTATTGACCTCTGACGTCTCTGAAGCCTCACTTTTATTGTTCGTGGTCCAGTGAGCTGTGAAGCCATCACACTAAAGCTGAACTAATCATCACCATTACATTTAAACACTTGAGTGACATTAAAGCGTCTGAGGTGAACTTTGAGGAAGAATGAGACGAATTGAAAGAGGGGAAGGAGTTTATAGATTATCTACTATAATATGAGAAATCAGGGTCAGTAATGGTCATCAGTGTAACCTCATCTCTGAGGTTTGAATCTGCCCATAATTTGGCAGAAATCGTGTTTGGATATTGATTGTCTGAAAGTGTATTTAAATAAACATAAGCGGTCTCTCTGTGCCGGGCACCGCAGGCTTTTACAGCACTATATGGCCAGTGTAGTATGAGAGAAACATGATATATTGGCTCAAGGTTGTGTGTGTGTGTGTGTGTGTATCAGAGATTACTCTGACTGAGATATCGTAAATGAGCTGTGCTGGCACTATTTGTTTGGCTCCATTAGGCACAAGTCATTATAAGTGTCTGCAGTTATTTATAGATAAAGATGTTGATATATGCTGTTATTTCTAATGTTCTTCTCTGTCTTTCTGCTTCTCTTCTGCAGACAGCACTGCTCTGGACATGGAGGTCTTCTTGTGTTTTCTTTACTTATATAATTGTTCACCCATTTCTGTGTGTGTTTGTTCATTTCTGAATTTACATAATATATGCTGCATGTTTTTCCAGTGTTCTCTTTAATTGCTTGGTGGTGATGTTAATAAGCAGTATGCAATGAGACATAGGCAAATAGACAGATAGATAGAAAAACATATATAGACAGATAAATAGAAGAGTAAATGGCTCGATAGATGGATAAACTAATGGATGGATGGATATACAGATTGATGTATAGATAGATTGGTAGATGTATACAACAGGGGCGTTTCCTCTGAGGATGCAAGGGAGGCAGTGCCTCTTTAAAAAATTGGATGAGAATATAATCCATCTTACAAAAATAAAATAATGCAAATATTACAAAATATGACATTAAAAATTATAAATCACTCGTTTTTCTTAAGTAACACTGTTCAACAGCAATACCAGCACGTAAAGTTACAGTGGGACGCCGCATCTTTTTTGCCTCCCCTGAGCCTATTGAGATTTAACAGACCCACTAAAGCGTGCAGTTGGTTTGGTGGGGGGGTATTTGAGAATGAATGAGGGAAAGTCACATGAGAGGAGGCAATGCCTCCATCGAGCTATGATTGGACATGATTGGATACGTTTGGTTCGTACGATAAATCCCACCTCTTGTTTTCGTGCACGTTCACGAATCAGTCTGAATGAACAAAATGATGGCGTTGATGGGAAGACTAATGAAAAAATAAGTAAACTCGCCCACTTAACACTGCTTTGTCATGTCAAAATCACATGCAAAAAGGAAAAGAAATGCAAAAATGCTTAAAAAAACTAACTTGATGAGATTTATACTTGGTTGTAATGAATTTACATTTGATTTATATATATATAAGAACACCACTGATATTTCCACTGGTATACAGGTAGAGAGACAGACACGACAGAGATGGATGGATGAATAGATAGATAGACAGACAGATGGATAGGTAGATCTGTAATATCTGATCTTATTTTTTGTAATGTATTTGTCTGTATATTTACACATGTTTGTCACTGTTTGTCTGTGTCTTTGTGACCATGTTTTATATTTACTGTACAGGTAAATTATATACAGTAAGTACAGTGTCTTACTGTACTTAAGTACAGTGTCTTATTGATCTGTGTAAGTCATCAGCAGGCTGTTTTCTTGTTTGACAGGGTTGTGCCAATATCCTGGACCCAGCCAAACTGGGGCTGACTGGCGGAGGGTGAGTACAGACATACTCAACTGCAAAACACACAGGGGAAATAAAGACAGCTGATCTGTACCTTATACACTGTCTAGAGTTACACTCTTACAGGTGTTAGATACATAATAATGTGTGTGTGTGCGCGTGTGCGTGTTGGTGCCTCCGACTCTCGAGCCGTTGGGTCTCCTCGTCTTCCATTTATCACTGACACACACTCGCTGATATTATTTTTCTCTGATAGACCGCAGGCAGAAGAGCAGGAATGTGCATGGAATGTTATTTGTGGATTTTCTTGGGACCTGTGTTTCTAGTGTTAATATGTCTCCAGGTTAATGAATGTAGTGGGGATGAATTTAATTTCTGGTAATGAGCAGTCAAAAATAAATAAATATACCCTGCACTGTTGGCATTTATGCTTATTAAAGGCCGTTCTCATTAAGCATTGATGATGTCACTGTCTTCCTAACAAAGACAAACGTGTTTCTTTGGGCTCTGCATGATTGAAAAAGACCTGTTTATAGACATGTGCAGTATAAGAACATCCTGACCTAATCTAAACTCTCATATGTGTATGTGTGTATTTTAGAATTATTGACATGCTGCAGAGTTATTCTCCAGATCTATTTCGCCTATGTTCATACAATACAAGCATACTGTATTCTCTGCAGTATGTGTGTACCACCTTCGATTTTTAAAAATACCATGTGAAACGGCATACATTATGCAACGAAAAACGTTTTAAACAGTTCCATGCTAAATTGTCATTGCATTGCATTCATCCAAATTTTATGTTGAAAATATTTATTTTACATTTTTACATTTTATTACTCTTTAATATTTGGTAGTCCAATCAAATAAAAACTCTATATGGAGACATTAAAAACCAAAGCATTATTTATCTGAGCATATAGGTATCATATTGGAAATTGAAAATATGTATTTTTTTAAATCGGATCAAATAATTAGGGAAGAAGATGATGTATATGAATAAGTTAAGCATATTGCATTGTGGAATACAGTACCCAGTGGAGTGTGCTTTGGTTGTACGGCCCAATTTGACCAAGTATTCTATGCATGAATAGAATGGGTCTGTGTGAGGCAAGAGCAATTATGATGGACTTCCTGTTCCTCCCACCCCCCTCTGCCCATCCCATGTCATTTGCCAGTGCTGTAAATCAGCCGACTGCTTTTTATCCGGGTAATGTTTCATAGCGTACAGCGTGATTATGGTATTAATAGACTCTAAATCTGCCTCCATCCCCAGGGTTGGCAGTATACTTTATGGCATTGACAGCATGCCAGATTTACGTCGCAAGAGGACCATGCCTATTGTCCGAGACCTGGTGAGTAATCATGCCCGGCACGGTTATGTTTGACTGATGGAGCTGTAGAAGACTGTATTAGCCAATCAGACCCACCGTGCACACGGTCACTAGTCCGAATTTACAATCCAACACTGTCAGCAGGGCACATGCAAGATAGAGGCGCACACGTCACGTGTTTATGTTTTGATGCTATTTTAAGGGTTTTACGCTCCACCAGAGTAAAAGTAGGTCACTCACCTGGTGTTCTCCACAATATCTGCAGAGTTCAAATCATCTGTCTTGTCTTTAAATGTGTAGTGCTCTTATATTAATAATGAAGTTCTATTTAATTTACGAGACTCTAGGCGGCGAATGATTGATCCACAGCATCTATGTAGTATGTCGTATGTTTCTATTCATACTTTTGCATTTGTTAACATTTCAAAGGATTTCTTTTCTTGCAGTCCGTCTACATGTCTTTGTCTCCATTTCTTCTTGATTTTTGTTAGAGCAAATTTTCTTAACCGATTCTTACATTGAGTTTTGTGCAAATGTTCTGCTTCTGAAGGACAAATGTTGATGCTGTATCTGTCCATATTTTGCATGAAATTAAAAACCAACCCTATTTTGGTAAGTACGGGTCATCGTTCAGTTTGTTATTTTGTTTTTTTGGCGTGTCCTGTGGTCCATTCCCACTTGGGCCCATATTGATTATGGGTGATATTTTTCCGTGAGTTGTCAGATTTCCCTTCAAAACGGTTGTTTTCAGTCAATCGACAGCAGATGCATTCGAAACCGAAATGTTGACAACTCTACCCAAAAATATATCTGAGGACTTCATTGACTTCTGATTTAACTGTGTGCCTTTTTAAATCCATGTAAAAGTGACGTGCGCCACTAAGCCTTTTACAGCGTGGATGAAGTCAGTGCTGTACCGGGTCCGATCTGGTCTATCCCATCATGCCTCTGTCGTCTGTTTCTGTCCCCTTGTTGGCTGTGTGATTGCTTCAGGGCAACGACAGTCGGTCACGTGACCTCAGAGAAAAATTCCTCCAAAATTCAGACTACAATTCCATTGCCTGCAGCAACCCTCAGCAATTCAAGTGCATGTTGAGACTTACATCAACACTTGACGTTCATGTAGAGGTCAAATCTATCCTCTTTTCCTACGCACCCCTGCTTTAAGGGGGCGTTAGCAGCCCGCTTGGTCTTTACCACCTTCAGGTTCAGGGTCAGATGGTAAAGACGAGTCCAGTATGGTCCGCTGTCCAAGCCTGCTGATCTCGATATGGCTAATCGTGGCTTTTTGACTTTTGACCGGCTCTGTAGTGTCCCATTTCCCCCGCATTGGCTCTTTCTTTCTCTCGTTCTCTGTCCTGAACTCTTTGGATCGTGTTTTTTAGCTGGCTTTAACACATGCTGTCTTGTCTGTTTGTAGCAGTAATGGCAACACTACTCACAGGCAGTAGGACTATGTCAGGGCACATTTCAGTATCTTTACCAAACATTTGCACAGCAAATGCATGAGTGAACTGTAAATTTCTGCTGCATGTCAGAGGTGAGTTATTTAAGGATTGAGCCTCACCTCTGCAGCTTTCTCTCTGCGCTTTAGACAGACTCTCGATCTGATTTTCTGCATGACGGCAGGTATGACGTAAAGAGATGTGCTTTACTGTATGTGAACGACAGCTCACCTTCACTAAATGTCTAATTTTGTGTTCTGTCTGCTTTTCCCTGCACCTGGACACTCTAGGCTTTGGTAAGTTTCTTGCATTTTTAATGACATTTAATGAATGCACGTCTGAATCCAGTGTTTGTCTGCTTAAATAGCTTCATCTACAGTAGTCAGCTGAAGGCAGCAGATGTATCATTATCTGCCTAAGAGACCCTGTGTGTGTGTGTGTGTGTGTGTGTGTGTGTGTGTGTGTGTGTGTGTGTGTGTGTGTGTGTGTGTGTATGTGTGTGTCTGTGTTTGGAAAGAATACAAATTACATTACAAATTACTCACTGTTTAAGTTTCACTTTAATTTGTTCTAGCTCATTAGATATGAAGTTATGGTGCAGTATCTATCTATCTATCTATCTTATTATTTAATATTTTATTTTATGTATTTGATGTTTTTTATATTTTATTATAATTTATTTATTCACGCTTTCATATATTTTTTTTAACATTCAGAATATAGCTTTCTTTATTTGATGTAAAAATGAAGAATGTTTCAGAATATGCATAATTCTGTTCAGTGTTCATGAAAGAAAATGCCTGCTATGTTCCAAATCTAGTGAGCCGTCCACCTAGACAGCATTTTTATTGATGTGAAGACTTCGATAATATTTTGGTATTGTCAAATTCTAAGGCAGCATTGCATGCATCCTTCAAAGACAACAATATAATCCCAGAAATGTATAGCAGTAGAAAAACAGTCTGTCATGTTAAAATGGGCTATTTTACCTAATATTTGTGTATGTGGCTTTCAGTAGTTATTTATTTGCACTCCTGAAATGTGAGCAATGGGTCTTGTCTGTCTGTTTTGTTATTGTGAAAGTAATTCCTGCTTCCTGAAATCTCTTAAAATCACAGTACACCTAATGAAATGAAAGCAAATTACACAGAGCAGAATACAGCCTACATGTTCATATAGTTCTTCTATTCAATCTAAAATGAAAAGCTTTCTGAGAGGTGCGTTCTATGTAACAGGTGAATATCTGCTTGAAGGTGAAAGTGGTTTCCCAGCCTGAGTAATCAGGTTTTGTCTTATCCCACATGATAACATTCAGCCTAACACAACAGATTTTTAGCCTGTAGCGTTTGACTCAGTTCCTGAGCGTTGTCTTTATCATTCTCCCTCACTCTGGCTCTTTCTCAATATATCCTTTTTCCTTTCAGACATTGGCTGCTCGAAAGGCAGGCATTGCGTTTGGGCTCGTGAACAGAACGACTCTAAACAACGAGGAGCTGGTGAGTTTTAAACACACAGATGTGTACAGCACATGCACAGCGGTTTTACCATACAGATTCATGTACAAATAAATCTGTAAGCAGCTAGTCAGCGTCTAATGAGGAGCGATCATGTGGCACAAATGTAACGTTCATGCATAAAGTCACAACTAATACACATGCACGTCTATACACAAGACCCAGAGGCAAGAACAATTCATACAAGACAAAAAATGACTATTCAATATCTCTAATGATATTCTTGACTATTTGATCATTGTCACAAAATAAACCCTGACAGTGAGATCAGGAGCCTGATGCAAAGCAGATTCAAAGCAAAGCTATTCAAAATATTGGGGTTAGCAAGATTATTTTAATACTTAAAAGGGGTCATATGTACATGCACTTTTACAAGTTGATTGTACTGAAATGTGTGTTGGCAGTGCCTGTACACAACCATCATATAATGATAAAAATCCATCCAGTGTTTTTGTTTTAATCTCCTTGTATGTTTTCCCCTGTCTCAAATCGAGCCGTTCAACCGTGTGACGTCATACGGTCGGACGCCCCTCCCACGATTGTTGATTGACAGCAGCGTTTCAACACAGACCCGCCCTGAGCGAGCTGTCATCATAGTCCGTCATTGTTGATACGCTGGAGCAGAATGGTGTCTAAGCGATTGTGGTGTTCTGTTCTTGGGTGTAATAACGAACACAGCAGTCATTTTAATGTTCCTAAATCCGAACCGCTGAAGACGCAGTGGCTGAGTTTTGTTTTCGAAGGGAATATTCCCCACGATCAACGTCAATGCTTTTATGTTTGCGCGAATCATTTCTCACCAGACTGCTTTATAAACGATGATCAGTGTTAAGCTGGTTTTGCTAAGAAGCTGCTCCTGAAAAAAGAATCGGTACCAACTATTCGTGTTCCTGCTGAACCTCCAGAAGAAGTGAGTGTAAAGTTTTATTAACCTTTATATTAATCTTTGCAAATTGCTTGCACGCTTCACGATGAATGCTGCTAAGGTTTACACTCAGGGTACATTACGGCATGTTTCCATGTACGTCATTCTCAATATAATTCATAATTTTTTCGTTTATAATGAACAACGTGTTATGGTTATTGTGTTATTACAAACTGTGTACGTATAAGTTACATCAGTAAACACATAGCATTCGTATCTCACTACTCTACCCTGCCAGTACATACAAAGATAGATCAAAGTGACATTACGTTAACCAACCATTCAGAAACGTTCTGTTCGAGCCTTAATTGTCGAACTTCTTCGGGCCGTCCCCCGTCATCATGTTCCGCCTCCGACTCCGGTTCAAATTGATACGGTTGCACAGATGTGTCCTCAGAGACTCCCGCTGCCATTCTTTCCCCAAAATATACCCTCAACTGTTGTCAAGGCAACACTCCACGTGTGTTGTGTCAAAACGCCCCACAGAACAGAGGGGCAGGGTGACGTAGCTCATTATCATTTAAAGACACGTGCACTTAAATGGAGGTATTTCTTACAATACTTAGAATTTTTAATTAAAGTATATTACAAACTTTTCATTTAGACCCTAAAGAATCATATTAACTTGTATAAAAATGGCATTATATGACCCCTTTAAGAAAGTTTAGTTTAGTTTCTTCTGCTCACCAAGGCTGGATTTCTTTGATCAAAATTCAGTAAAATCAGTAATATTGTGAATTATTATTAAAATTTAAAATAACTATTTTCTCTTTGAATATATTTTAAAATGTAATTCAATTATTCCTGTGATGCAAAGCTGAATTTTCAGCATCATTACTCCACTCTTCGGTGTCACATTATCCTTCAGAAATCATTTTGATATGCTGATTTGCTGCTCAAGAAACATTTATTATTATTATCAATGTTGAAAACAGTAGTGCTGCTTCATATTTTTTGTGGAAACCGTGATACATTTCATTAGCTTTCTCTCTGATGAATAGAAGATTCATTCAGTGTGGCCGTGATGAGGATGTTGCTGTTGTATTTGTGTTTAAAGCATTAAGATGCTTTCTGATTATTTGGGTGTTGATCGATGATTCTAGTTTTAATTGTATTTTCGTACTTTTGTTTGACGGAGGGACCAAAAACCTGAGAGAGGAAAGAACGTCTTAATCAATAAAGAAGAATTACTCTTCTTTTTATCCAGACCTTCTTCCCTCCCATTAATTGATCCACTGAATAAACAGCCCAGATTCACACGGTGTGATGTGATGTTTAGCACTCTGTTGTGACACTGAGATGCAGGAAGTTACTCGACAAACCTGATTGTATTTCAGCTGGAGAGTATATCATTTTAATTATAACACTATGTGCATTCAGGCACAAACTGGACATGCTGGGGAATTTCCTATTTATTTATTTCTGTTTTTATCTACCAACAAAATTACCTGGATGTGCATTAGGTGTGTAATTGATGATGCATCCGTGTATTTTTCCTATTCATTTTCCTCATAGGGATTTTAAAATGTCTTCGTTAAAGAGTTATAAGCCGTAAACCAAACCACCCAGCTATGAGGTAAATCACAACATTATTATCACAACCTTTTATCTAAAAATATTTGGAAATCAGACAAAAAGGCAAAGTTACAAGCCTGTGAAATTAATTGCTTAAAATAGGGAACTGCAAATTACATATTCTAAATAAAATCACTGGAGAAATATAAAACCATTGATTTACGGTAAATATATTGATTAAATATATAGAATTAAACTGTTTTATGTTTATTGCGAAATGTGCAAATAAGTTTGGGCACCCCTGATAATTATCATAATTTCAGTTTATAATCTGCTGGGCTTTCGACGCAGCAACTTCATTTGTTATTATTTATAATATATACCTTATGGAAACAGTAACATTTCAGTTCTGAAATAACATTTATTGAATCAACAGATACAAAGCGATATGAGTCACAACAAAAACAGACAGGTGCAGAAATTTGGGCACCCCAATGGAATAATCATATCAATATTTAGTAGAGCCTCCTTTTGCTGAAATAACAGCCTGTAGACGCTTATAGCCACTGATAAGTCCCTGATTTCTGACTGCAGGTATTTTGGACCATTCTTCCTTACAAAATGTCTCCATTTCAGTAAGGTTTGATGGCTGCTGATCGTGGACAGCCCACTTCAAATCATTCCATAGATTTTCGATTATATTCAAGTCTGGGGACTGGGATTGCTATTCTAGAACATTCTATCTGTGTCTGTGGTTTTCCTTTATTTGGAACAATGCTTTGGATCATTGTCCTGCTTAAATCAACCAACCAACCCCGGTGTAACTTCAACCTCTTGACTGGTTCTTGAACATTGTTCTTAAGAATCTGCTGATACTGGGTAAAACCCATGCGACAACCAACTTTGATAAGGTTTCCAGTACCTTTGCTTGCAACACAGCCCCATAACATGATGGACCCTCCTCCAAATTTTACAGTAGGGAGCAGGTTCTTCTCCTGGAACGCTGTGTTCTTTTTACGCCATGCAAAGCTCTTCTGGTTGTGACCAAATAACTCTTTCTTAGTTTCATCTGTCCACAGGACATTATTCCAAAATAATTCTGGCTTGTCCAGATGAGTCTTTGCATACCTCAAATGATTCTGCTTGTTGGCCGTACGCAGAAAAGGCTGTTCCTTGTTCAGAGTGCGCTAGACTGAGGAATGATGTTTAACGACACCACCAGAAGTAAGATGGTCTTCGAGCTCTTTGGAGGTGGTCTGTGATTTGTCTGCGACCATTCAAAGCATTCTTTGGCCATTCATTGCCTTTGACTTTCAGATATTTTTCACGGCCTACCACATCTTTCCTTCACAAGGACTGTTCCTGTAGCCTTCCATTTTATAACTAAATTTCTGATTTTGGAGATATAGACGTCAAACCTTTGTGATAACTTGTTGTATCCTTATCCTAATTCATATTGATGAATTATCCTAGTTTTTAAGTCTTTAGGGAGTTCTTTGAGGTTCCCATGTTGCTACTTTCCAGTAGAGAATCAAAGATAAGGACAACTAGCAATTAGCTTCCTTGAATATCCTTTTTCATGATTGGTTGCACCTGTGTATTCAGTCTAATGTAGGGATTGACCGATATGAATTTTTTAGTGCCGATACTGATACCGATTTTTTTCCCATCAGCCTTAGCCGATGACCGATACGGGCTGCCGATTTTCTTCAGCCGATATTTGGAGCCGATACATTTTGCTCCCTCAATTTACATCATAAAAATGACATGATGTTAACAAATGTTACAGGTCTCAATTTAATAAAAGTAACATTTATTTAACGTAAAAAAATCAATATTTAACAAATAGTAAAAACATGTGAGGTAGAACAAGAACAAGTAGATAAACAATATTTAACAAATATTAAAAACATGAGGTAGAACAAAAAAAAGTTCCCTGCTGAAAATAAATATTTAAGCATAAATAAAATAATTACACTATTGCACACAGTAGCAACCAGCATAATAAAGTGCACAGTGCACACTGTACTTCATTTTAAAAGTAACAAACTATTTACTGCCATGGTTTAAATTTTTCTACATAAAATAAAATGAGCATGTCTAGTCTCTAATATCACTGCGATGGCGAGGGAGACACACACCACACGCGTCCAAACCTCAGCCAGGTGGTCGCTGAATAAATCTCCCACAAAAAGCACGGAACAACGTTGGTATTACTTAATCCTATGACCAGTGTTCGTAACAGCTACCGTACGCATACTAGGGCTGTCAAAATTGCTCAAATGGCGTTTGTATATTCCCTCTAAAAAACATATTTGAACATATCGTCGTGCATTTGGTCAATGACGCGCATTACGTCAATAACAGGACACATTAATACAAAGAGACATAACTACTAGTATTAAGTTGCTTATTTGAGTTTAAACATATTTGACAACGTATTACTACTACAAAAAAACGAGTAAATCAACTAATGGCCAAGACCGCAGAGCTCACTCTGGCTCGCCCGGACTCGCAGGCGCACTCTCTCTCTCTCTCTCGC